TCTGTGTCTGTCTTTAATTTGAATCTATAAAGCTCGCTCTCTCTCTTTCTCTCATTAATTAAAGATAAAGATGTGTCAGGGACATGGCTTGATTTTTGTTACAAGAAAAATCAAAACACATTGTGATGGTCATCAGAAGAAATATTTGTTTTCTTTCGTGATTCTCATTGTTTTAGTTTTTTTTTCTCTTTCCTGTGACACAACCACGGCTCCAGTTGTCTTTTATATTTCATCCTCTTGAAAAGCAATTTTCTTTGTCCCGTTATAAACCGATTCATCATGCCTTTGACAACAATTACATCCAGACAAGCGGCCTCATCCAGGCAAACACTTCACCTCTTTACCCGGAGAGATGCAAGTTTTCAGTCGAACATCACGGCGGGAACAGAGAGAAGATGAAAAAAGTCGTTCGTCTATACGTCCATGACAAGGCCTGAGCCCGATGAGAGCTCCTCTGCTCCCCACATGTGGACAAGAGATTTGGGTCTCAGAGTGTGTGAAGACAGCTGGAAAATTCCCTTGAGCCGGGTCTAATTGAAAGCTTATCATCTTCTCTTTGTGCTTCCTGAGCGGTGGGGGATCGGAGCGCAGAGACACACTGGGATGAGACCTGGAGGAAATAGTCGGGAATGTTTTAAGATGGTGCAGATCTGTCAGACACTCACACTGTGAAGTGGAGCTCGGGCTCTCTGGGGTGGAGGCTGGTGTGAGATCTGTCGGCAGGGGATTGTGTGTGTATGAGTTTCTTGTGCGTGCATTGAAATGCTTTGAGTGTGCAGAGTTAATTGAATACAGTGTGTATCAAGGCTGCGTGTGTGTGTCCTAAGGCTTTGTTGTTCTGCCAGCACTGCCCCCATAGAAGGCTTGACACACACACACACACACACACACACACACAAACCATACAGATGGAAAGAAAGGAGGGAAATGAATGGGAAGAAAGGATGAAACAGAAAAGAGCAGAGATACAGGGAGAATAAAAGAGAGAGAAATTGAAGAAGAAAAAACAAAGCCTTTAGAAGTGAAATCCCTTTCGTGGTACATCAACAGGTGGCATTAGTTTAAGAGTGAGGGACTGTGGGTATTGTATTTCAGGTTAACCACATGAGACAACTAAAATCAGACCACCCCACAAGGTAGCATCTCGAGTGTTTAATCTTGTGGCTCGACATCAAATGGACCAAACAGATGCCATCAGCACCGCATAAACTAACATAGCCAATAAGAAAGAGGGTCGACATTCCAAACTTCTCCTGTATTGTTTTGAACAAGTGACAACTTGCCGACATGCGCTAACATAGAGGCTGCCAAGGCGGTGCAGGATTCCTGAGCCGTGCTTTTATTTACGCTCTGGGTACCATCGTGTTGACAGCTGAGGCATTTTTTAAAAAACTCTTGAGGTAGTGTTGCCAGTGACAGTCTCACTAATGAGAGAGCAGAGTGTAATTATTAAAGAGGGTTATAGGGAATGAACTACCAATGAACTGCCAGGGTTGTGATATGGCGGCGGCATGTATGGTATTTATTGTATGAAAGGAGACGTTAAAGAGAGAATTTGCTGGCATGAAATAAGGTCCCATGAACATTTACGTTGTTTTTTTCCCTCTCTGCTTGTATGTCATCTGATGTGACAGTGTCTGGGTTTCTGAAGATGAATTATACCCTGCGTTCCATTTTTAACGTTTTCACTCTCGCCACCTCCCCCTGTTCACCCATAAAATACCTTCACAAACCAGACTTTTGAGCATCGAGTTTCAAATGAGGGAGCTCTTATGGTAAAGAGCTGTTTTTATTGGAAAGTAAATGTGGATTTAGAAAGTGACCATAAATATTGAACCTAAATCTAATGTGGGTGGGATTTTCTCCTAAGAGCAGGTGGGACGTTTAAAGCTGAAAAAATAAAGATGATGTTTTACTACAACCAATAGCTATTACCCCCACTGAGGTTATGTCTTCTTATCTTTGATTGTTTGTCAGTTAGCGGGATTTTGCAAAAACTACTGAACCTATTCTGAACTCCATGAATTTTTGTGGATAGTTTGAGCATGACACAAACCCATTATATTTTGGAGCAGATCCATATTAGTTGGCTTATTTCACCTTCTTTAATTGATATTGCATTTGTAGTTGGTTTAATTGTTTGCATTATTACTTAATAACCACTAAACCAATGTTCACCAAACTTTGAGGGGGGGCGAGGTCGGGACTAACCCAATCAATTTTGATGCTGATGCAGATAAAGAGGCAGATTTAGTATTTTTATTTCAACCAAGTGTGATTTATGTGAGGATTAGGGTTAAATCAGTTAATTAGGATTTCTGTTGAAAGAATTGTACAATCATGTGTAGAATGGTTTGACTGTGGCTGTTGGTATGTGCTCCTCTGAGTGCTGGTTTGTTATTTAGCAGGATTACACAAAAACTACTCAAAGGACACAATCACAAAAGTTTTTAGATGTGGTATGGGTGAGGGAAGGCATTACATTTTGTTGCGAATCTGGATCAGGGAGCAGATCCAGGATTTTGTTTTGTTCATTCTCTTTAAAATGTGAGATAGGGTTTTTCCACATTTTCAAAGATTTTCAGAAAAGAATTTATGGATCTTGATGAGAAAAATCTGACATGTTTATGGGACTGATATTTTGTTGATGAGTGTGTAAAATGATCCAAGTAAAAATCTGGATCTAGTGAATTTTAAATGTTTTTTTTTAAGGGGAGTACCTCTACCAAGGCCCAACACCTGGAATTCTAGTTTTAATTAAAAATGTATTTTAAAATAAAAACAACCTTTTATATGAAATGAACAGCAGGTCTGAAGGCAAAGGTGAGACACATGTTTTTTAATTAAAATGATTAAAAACTACATTATCCGCAGATTGTACAAGCACTCGGTATGGAAGCATTAACGATATTATTACATACGTAGATGAGATTCTTAAATTAACATATCAGTTTCAGATGTACATGCTTTGAGCATAAAAGAGAAATGAAGAAAGGGAGGATGATGAACAGTTTGGTAAATAAAAATGGGATTCTTCTAAAAAGAAGTAAAAGAAAATGTAACATTGTGCTCTTTAATCCAATATACAATCAAATACAATCCAGTTGTTTTGCATAAAGAATGATATTAGAGATCGATCAAGACATATGTCACTCGCCACACATCTTTCCCATCATTAACATCCAGCACACTGGATCACAGGCAGTTGTGAAGATCTTTGGTTTTTTTAATAAGGAACCACACAAATACAACATGTGGTTTCTCTAGCTGCATGATTTTTGTCCATAGTAAAAAAAAAAAAAGGTCTTCAGAGGAGAGAGCTGTTTTCCTCTAAATCGAAGGCAAATAGGAATGAGACATTGTTTCTGATTGTTTTAAAAGTAGGAATAAGGCAGAGAGTTTTTTATTATTACCTGAGCTGCAAATGCCAGCTTTGTATTCACTTTGAAATTTAATCTCACTTGTGTCGCAACCAAATACCCATCCCAGAGAGTCACACTAATCATCTTCCTTCTTGTGGAGGGTAAATGTTCGATACCTGACACCTGTCGTAAACGCCTCAGTGATACTGAGATAATCTGTGCAGGTGTATGAATTATTGGCAGAACGCTGAGCCCCTGGCACTGATGATCAGTAAATTAGACCAGCAAAGACAGAATCAGTGCCATAAAGGCTTCAAAGCACGCACTTATTATTCAGAACAAAGGGACCTGTGCACAACAAGGGATTTTTTTTTTCAATTAATGTGCTAGGTGTTGGTAAGAAGATCACTCTGACCCCACTGCCTCCTTCTATCCCTTCATCCTCACCCTCCTCCAGGGATGGAGGGATCACATGCAACAGCAGTGGCCTCAGGACAGGACGGGGGGAATGTGCACACACATCTGTGGGAGAGGAATTGTGTGTGTGTGTGAGTGTGTGTGTGTAATCATGAAATCCTGTTTTAATGTTGGATTTATAGAAAGGACACTTTAAATTTCATGTGTGTGCAGGATTTTTCTGTCTTTGATGTTGAGATCTGTGTCCTCTTTGTTAATGCAAAACCATATGAGTTAAATGAATTCAAACATAGTGCAATAGTAATGCAAGGACTCATTTAGCAGAGGAAGGCAATTTGGAAATAGATTAAAAGATTGCGGCACTGGATACACCATGTGACTAGCTGAATCTTTCGGGCGTGATTCATAAGGAATAAAGGTTTTTAGTGCATCAAAGCTACATTGGAAGACAAAATAATTACATTAAAGATTTTGTTTTTCATAATTTAACAATATATTACACAAATTCCAAATTTATACTTAACAACAAAACGGTATATATACTGTATGCATTTATATTCATATATATGTATAAAAGGAAAGGTAGCGAGAAATGCTCAGGGATTTGTTGTGTATTATGCGCACATTTCCTCACAATTTGGCTCAAATAAATATCAAAAGTAAACCGTGTCATCCAGTTGTAAAAACCAGACCGACTTTTTTTTGCAGAGAAAAGGGGGATTGGAAAATAAATTTGAAAGAAAAAATAGAGTAGACACAACAGGACTATAAATATTCCTGCAGAAAAAGAAACCCAATAAAGACTCCTCTGCGTTTTTGTCTTTTACATTCCTCTAAATATCAGCCATTCTCCTGTTGAAACATGATGCGCTGACGACACAGCAGAGGAGAATTTATGTCCTTGATCATGTGAGTCCTGACACATCAAATGCTTTTCTCTCAAATATGCAGCAATTGTGTTGACACATCCACCGAATATTATACTGTAGCACCAATGGCTGTTAATGTTCGTATGGATGATGAATTAGGCGGTAAGGTACTGCATAGACGCACTGTACGCTTCTGAGGATGTTTTCACAACTGACAATGTTTTTTGCAATATTTAAATGTTGCAGACACCAAACCTTAAAAGAACAGATCTCTACAGCAGTGCAGCCGTGCCGTGGAAGAATGTTGGAGTCACTCCTGGAGGAAAAGTTCAGTCCGACTGCTCGTGTCCAGTGACCATGTAAGTTGGATCAGTCTGAACAGTCTGCTTGACGGTTCTTCAGTTCATCAGCGGCACTGATGGATTTTAGACTTCCGTTGTCTCTTGTTCTTTTGTCTTTGGTTTACGTCAGAAAAATGTTCCTGAAACTTTACTATGGCTTTTTCTTACCCTCACGTCTATTTACAGTCTCCGCTAAGCATCATCTCCGTTAAAAAGGCTTTTATAGTCTCTTAGGAATACATGTTTTAGCATGGTGCAGGAGTTCACTCAAAATGTACAAAATACATGGAAGTCTTGGGAGAGTTGTAAAACACAAAGTCTTTAAAGCGAGTGCTGGAGAAATAAAAGACAAACATGCAGCTTTTCTGTAATTTTTGTTTGATTTTTCGTTCTTTTCTTTCAGTGTTCAGCTTTTTTTTTTGTTAATCGTCCTCTTTCCTTTCCCTTCCTCACTTTCTCCCGCACCATCTTGATTGTCTAGCTGTCTGTCAGTCAGTAAGGCCTCCAGACGGACTCATCCAAACGGCCTGAAGCGGACATGGCCGTGGGGGAGTTGCTGTGGCTGCCGTCGGCCTCCACGCCCTCGCTCTGGTTGTTCAAGCCGGGATTCATCAGGCTGTTGGTCCCTCCAGTGCCGCCAGCCCCCGAGCAGGACAGCAGGCGGGTAGGGGAGCGCTCCCCCCCGGTGTTTCCCGGTGCCACCATGGAGAACTGGTAGGATCCAGAGCCTGTGCCGTAATACAGGTAGGAATTGGACTGGAAGTTCTGGGTCTGGTTGTTCGAGTAGGGTGGCGGCAGGTAGGTGTGGTATCTAGAAGAGGCTGACATGCTGAGGCCGCTGATGCCGGTGCTGGAGGTGTTGGCGGAGTAAGGGAAGGCCCCGGGGTAATGCATCCGAGGGTCTGAGAAGCGGGGGTCAGTCAGCGGCGAGAGAGATGGGAAGGTGGTCCTCTGTTGGAAGAGATCTGTCGTCCCTGTTGGCAGAAAGAAAGAAACAAAAGGGTGGAATAAGTCAACAAATGAAAACTGATGTTGTGATTGCGAAATAAGGGATTCAGAGATTTCTCATTTTCTATTACTTAAAAAAAAAAACCCACAGCAAACTCTCCCATATCCCCAAGTCTGAGCTCAGATTTCTTTACAATGTGCCTGTCCACGAAAACGTCTGTTCAACGTAATGAACTGAGACATTTTTTTGCTTAATAAGAGTCATCAAACACTGACAGCACATCATCCCACAGCCCCATGCACAAGACTGAAGTTATGAAAAGGCCCCCTCGCCACAGACCTCCTACCACTCCCACAAAAAGAGCAAAGCACTGTGTTCTGTCTTTCTCGGAGCAATGAAAAGACGTATTGTCAGTGGAGAGGGGTGCTCTCTATAAACACCGATGGCTTGTTGTGAAACTCATCATAAATCATACTCATGCGACAGAGGCAGACTTTCACGGAGGCAGACAGAGAGACGGAAAAGAAAAAGGAAAGGAACGAGGGGTAGGAAAGGAAGAGGTGGTGTGTTTCTATGTGAATATCCTCTTAATGTGTATCGCAGTCCAGGAGCTGTCAGAATTAACTGCTATGTGTAATCTCACAGGTAACGGAGCGCAGCTGAGCCCAGCTGTTAGGACTTCAGTTTCACCACACACCTTCTAATTTATTCAGCTGACAAAAGGGAAATAGAAATATTGCTCAAGGGTTCGACTTGGCAGTATGCTTTTCTGAGATTTGGGGCCGCTACTGTCACCAGCTCAGTTCCTTAAGTCAAACACCATATTGCCCCTCTCACTTAACTGAGGAGTATTATTGGCTGATCTTACATCCTGAGCTTCGGATATGAATCTGTGCACAGGCCTACAGTCATCTAGAACTTCTGAACACTGCATGCTGCCGTAGCATTTGAGTTTGGATCATAGCATAGTGTCAGTTATCTTTAATATTTCTACTATATATAAAGTTTGTATTGCAACTATTGCAATGCATTTTCTAAACCTGCCTCTCCTGTATAAATGCTCTGGAGCTACTTCAGAATTATTCCTTGTCATTAGTGATTCCTCCTCAAACTGTTCTACAATATACTGACACTTTTGTTCTGGACGTTGTGTGCAGAACTTTTTATAAACAGTCTATGGTGCAGAGTGAAGTTCAGCTCATCCTACCTTGTTTATCTGCGATGAAGATTTTATAGTCTAATAGTTTTTCATAAAAAGAATATTCTTAGGTACTATTCACATATGTAGTTTGAATGATTGAGTTAGCAAGTGTTCTTTTTTATATACATTGCATGTCGGCTACAGAGGTTTGTTAAGCGTTCGCCATAATCTTCAGAACAAGGTTAACAACTTTGAAAAAAAATCAGCTGGATATAACGTATTGCAGCAGCAATATGAATGTTATGCTTTTACTTTGAAGACAAACAGGAAGTGACTCTATAAATGTTGTTGCGATGATGGAGTGTAGACTTGTGATGTGTCTCTGACTCCGATATGGTGAAATAAAAATGGTTTAATAATCAAAATTATCTTGCAGCAGTTTTGGTTTAATCCAGTTGCAAACTGCTGCTGTAGTTTATCTGAGGGCATAGGGGAAGACATGTTCAACTCTGTCCACAGACGGAGGGTGCTGTAAACATGATCATGTGGTCCACACAGCAGAGTTAATACATCACTTCCTGTCTCTGTCTGCTGCAACCGGCTGCTTCAGGATTCGATGCTGTTGTGAACATGTCTGTGCAGAGAACCTCCCACTGTGTTGTGCATGGGAGAAAGGCAAACTCAGGGCAAACTCAGTAGCCTTTGGATTCTACCTGCAGGTTATGTCTGAAAATGGCTACAGTAAACTTCTACAGTATTTACCTTCTCTATTGATATTTTTGTGGCTGATATAAATGCCACTAAAAAGCAACAGTCATAGAAAATAAACATGAGCATCACTGCTGCTTTGCCTCTACAAACATTCCATCGTTATATTCAGGTAGATGTCTTGGCTTTCAAGTTAAGCATGTCGAGTCTTTGTGCTCATGGCACTCAGATAATTTGGAAGAAGGTCAGGTGGCCACCAGCCAGGCCGAAATACTCTGCAACCTGTATACGCCCTTCACCTGCTTGTGCGCCACAATGACAGGGCAGAGTTCCTCATACCTGATGTCAACATACAGAATGCTCCATCCACACCTGCCACTTGTAAACAAACTCTTACACACTCAAACACCTACACGCACGCACACCTCGATCCATGGTTATTTGTTTGTCTGCATGTGGCTTTCACGGGTCCAACGGGCCCACATGACTCCAAGTGTAAAATGTGGATTTGGATGGCAGAGAAAAGAAAGCTTGTATTTGTGAAATAGCAAGCGCTTGCACGCCACAGCCCTGAGGGGGGAGAATGCCAAACTTGCGTGCCACAGTCTTGTTGAAATGTCTTTTCCCTATGTCTGGTGAACTGGGTCCATTTTCAGCTACAAAAAAATCTGTTCCTTTGCAATTTCCATGGCCCCTGCAAGACTCTCTCTTTTTTCAACAACACACTTCTGCAGTTGAATTTCCTCTTCTTTTTGGGATGAGGGAGTTTGATGGTGGGGGGGCTGTTTCTTTTTCCAGAGTCTACCAGGCTCCATATCTGATTTCACGCAAGGAAAATCCAAGCCTTCAGCTGCTGTTGATTCGGGTGAAGTGGAGTCGGCCCACTAATTCCTACCGGACTCCCAAAAAGCTGCTCTCAGTCTACCACCCCTCCTCTTTCTGTCTCACTCTCTCTTTTTCTCTCTGTGGCTCTGTCTCTTCATCTCTCTCTGTCCGTGCTAAATTTAGGCTTCAGGGTGAAACCGGGCAGGGGATGTATGGCGTGGGGACTTGATGACTCTGGCTGCTGCGGCCCACCCTGCTCAGGATCTCCATTTAATTGGAGTTGGTGGAAACGTGTTGGCTAAACTGCGGTGGGGATCGACTCCTGTGTTCTGTCAACGGAAACAGGACTGGACACTTATCACAACACCTTAATGGGCTTGTGCAGCACCAGCCTCTTGGCTGTGAGCCAGAGGAAGCCACCTGAAACCCTCTGCAGTACAGTAGCTCCCTCTGGAGGAGAGGGCTAAACAAACTGTTCTGTAATTGAGAAGCAAAGTTTTGCAGGCTGCTTTTTCTCCCCCTTAACCGTATTGCATACCTTTCGGCATCCCCACCCTCCCCCACCCACTGTAAGTACAGGCTTCACTGTTATGGCTGTGGTAACAGCGGTGTATCTTTGGCAGAGAGGGTCTTCCTAGCTGAGCCTAGTAGTAGCTGCCTGTAACCTCTGCGGCCCAAAACCACACATGATCTCCATTAGGCTCATCTGAAACGTGTTGACTAAATTGCAGGGACAGGAGAGGGGATGGACCCCAGAGGGTGAGCTGGCACAGTCTGCCGTCTGTGATGTTCCCAGTCTACGAAGCGGGTAGCTGGGAATGAGGGTTTTTATAGAGAACATAGTGTTCCAAAGCTCTCTCCTTTACTTTTCTCTTTCAGCTCTGAAGCATAGCACCACACACTTAACTCTGCAGCACCAAGGCTGCTGTCCCTCTCCACCTTTTTGCTTAGCTCAAGAAGTCCACTACTCCACAGTCAAGCGTGTAACCCAGATATGACAGGAGGTTTGCCTCATTTGCTTAGGGAAGAAACTGATTTTGGTTGTTAACACGAGGGCAAGTTTGAGACGGCCATGTAAGTGTAAATGTGCACAGGGTTGTGTCTGTGTGTGTGTGTGTGTGTGTGTGTGTGTGTGTCTACATGTGGCTGGCAATGCGGAGATGCAAATCCAGGCGCTCACCTGTGAAATGTTTACTTAAGCTTGATGCAAACTGTGACGGCCAGCGCCCAGGGAATGGTGTCTCAGGCAAATAAGTGGAGGGAAGGAAAAAGTGAAGAGAAACCCCTGCAGGCTGGTCCAGCTCCACGTAAAGACACACTGCGCAGTGCCGTGAGATTGTTCACTATAATCCTCTCCCTCATCCCATCCCTAAAGAGACTCAGCTGGGTTGTATTATGGATTTTATAACTCCTTTCAGAGGTAGAGAACGTCTGTTTGATTTACTGACTGGTTTGGGTGGTTTGAATGGCTGCCATGAGATGAGTATACGCTGTTGATAAGAGTCGATTATAATAAGGCAGCATAATGCTGGGGCAGAGCTGCTGCTGTTGTGGAGGCCATTGAACAGGCGATCCAAATGAACACAAATGATCTCCAGGTGTTTATTTAAGTGCAGAGGCTTTGGAGCCAGGACATCGTGTCGGATGCAAATGATAATCAACCCTGTACTGCGACACCATGGTCACCAGCCCCTTTATCATGTGTGTGGGGAGGATTTTGCATGTCCCCAACTTGTGACATGCAATACAAGCAAAGGTAGAGGATGTTTTGGATTTACAAAAAACCTGAGATTTTCCTAATGCATCAACAAACAAGTTGACATGATTAATATGTTAAGTAAATCTGTGTCTGTGGGAGGTATGCCACTTCCCTGTTAAAACATAGACTATGGAGTGTATACTGTTTTAGTATTTTGTTTTCTTCCATCTCAGGCTTTAAGATCTGAAACATACCCTTTTACTAACCACCACTTTCATTGACATTCACACCATCATAAATGTCTTTCTCTGGAGTAGAAAGGCTGAGAGTAACATGTAAATAATTAATTCCTGGCCTCAACAATACACGTAACATTTCTGTTTCCAGCTTCTGACATTGTCTCCTACCTAATAAAAAAAAGGAGATAGAACAAGATCAGTGAAGCAAATCTAAGGCTTCTTGTGTCTTGATGTCTGTCCATACCACAGTGTGAGTGTATGACTCAGCGTGTCTGGTGTGGTGGTTTCTGGGTAGGGGACGAATTAGAGACTGAGGTTGCTGTTAGAGACCAGAGATACAATGACAGAGGGAGTGTGAGGGGAGGAGGAAGATGAGGAGAAAGAAGATGAAGGTTGGCAGAGTGGTGACGTCCTAGGAATGTTCTGGGAAGTAGCAGGGCCCTACGGGCAAAACGAAACTGACTCCAAAATTGTCACGACAAGCGACACACCCTGATCCATGCCTGCCATTCTAGCTGCTCCACTTCAGTATTGTTTGTTTGAAAGGGTGTTAGAGTGTCGACTAATTAAAATGAATTCATTTGGAAATCTTCGGTTTGTTCTGAGATGTTCTTATAGGTGTATCATTTGGAAGGTGTGAACTGTCTTTGGCAGTCCAAAGTGCATCAATTATCTTCTCTGTATTTATCCAGCCTGTTTGCTCATACTTAGCAATTTAGGGCCAATGCGTATTGTGACCTCACCCCTCATGCTACTGATTAATTTTGCCTCACAATATGATTATGTCTTGGCAACTAATAACCACCCTTGGAAACTATTTTCTCATTAACACATACACAAATGCACAGGTATGCAAATTCTCAAATTCACATCAGATCTGGGGTCAAGCTTTAAAGCTAAGGTTGGCAATCCTGGAAATGCCAGCAAGAGCAGGCCACACATTGGAAATATGCAACTGATACATCCCAGCCTCTCTCATTGACCCTCTTGTCAAAGCTATGCCCCCAAAACACATGAACGTGCAGTGCCTGACAACTGCTTCTGGCTATTACCTCTGCCTCTGTATGTCTCACCGGCTTCTCAGTCTGAATGAAATGATTGGCAGTGTTTATTAAGTCCTGCTAGAGGCACAAACACTGGCTTTTTTTATTTCTTTATTTATTCATGGCTATCAGGATGTGAAGGGGATTTCAACAAATAAGATGAAATGTGTTTCAAAACAACTCACCAAGTCTACCTTAAATTAAGAACAAGGATTTAAGTGGATTTGAAAGTTACACAACAATATATTGCACAGAGACTTTAGAAAGAAGAAGATTGCATGTCTAACCTGGCCATGGTCTCAGGTCCTCCTCCACCTTGCATGTCTTCAGAGTGGGGGTGTCCATTTGCTCTTGCCACAGGGCTGTTTGAACACACAATATGAACAGCAGGTGAACATGACATCAGTGGAGGCTATTAAATATTACAGTTCCAGTAAGAGAAATGTGTGGGTTGTGTATATGTGGGGGTCAAGACGTATATGCCTGTGCCATAGAAATCTAAAGCACGTTCCAAAAACATCACTCCACAACAGACTTGTCAGAACTGCCTTGACATCTAGAGGTTTGGGGTCTGTGTCTTCCTGTCACAGGTTGGCCTCTGCTGACTGAGCAGTGAAGACTGGGAAGAGGAGGGGTGGTTTTCTCACCAGAGTGAGACCAGGCTTGGAAAACATGCCTGATGGGTGCATGGGAGATATTTTTGGGTCTTTCAGGCGAGACACCACAGAGGCAGCGGATACCTGTGAAGCACAGGACACTTGCTTGCCTGTCCAGCCGAGCTGTCAGGAAGTGAAGGAAGGTCAAAGACCTGCTGGCCCAACGCGTGGGACCCTGCTTCACACTCAACGGCCACACCGCAAGAGGCCTGACGCAAACGGGGGGCTGTTTGCTCTAGGTCTGAGACGGTGCAGTTGTGACAAGACAAGCTGCTCAGAGATCTGTGAACATGGGTTGAATTGAAATCTAGTCAACATCTTTGAACACGTTGTTTAAAGCATTTTCCTCAAATACACAGTCGTATTTTCATCATAAAGACAGAAACCTGCATAGTTTATCACCAGTTTTCTCTCATGGTGCTCTACTTTCAATGACCAGTCGACCATGTGTTATCACTATGACTCTGCCCACCGCTGTTGAGACACCGCAATATAGTAAACTCCTAACCTCCTGTCGTGGCAATTAGGATCGCGATGGATGCCAGAGGCAGGGAGGGGGGCTGGTGCTGGGCTGCTTAGCCCAACCGGGGCTCGGCGTATGTAAGATCTATGCTTCCCCTGGAGCTCCTTCCCTTCCTTTGCAAATGCCCAAATCAGCACTCAGTCAACGAGAGGTCCTGCACTATGCCTCACAATGGCAAATTCTTACACATAAATGGCCTTATTCAGAAAGGCTTGCAAGCAGCTGGTACGATTCGCTCAAGAAAATAAACATTTCCTTCAAATATTTTGATTGGCCGGCAGACAACGTCAATACCAGAGGCACAGATTACCTCTGTTAATAAGAGGACCAGCCCCCTGGGTGGAGCCGAGGAGTGGGGAAGGAAGGGGCTGAAATGGGAAGAAGTGGCAACTGCGTCACTAATAAGTAGCTTTGGGGTGCTGCCACTGTCGTTTTTGGGAGGACACAAATAAACACTCGGTGCTTTTTAAAGTGCATGTTTAGATCAAAGGGACGGCTGAGAAGATGTTTGAGCCAAAATGGCGCCCATCCTCGTGACTCCGGATCCAGCAACGCCTCTGAGACATGTAATGCGCCTGCCATAATGAAGCGTGTCATTGAGACACAGTGAATGCCAGTCCTTGTGCTGGCTTCCTGCTTCGCTCAGGCCTTAAGGCGTCGCAACGGGGAGAGAATGTGAGAGAGCAAGCAAGAGAGAAAGAAAGACGCCAGCGAGGGAGAGAAGAGAGAAAGAGAGCGTGTTAGAGAGGGGAGGAACACGGCCTTGGCTCAGCTATGTGGGACATTTGATATGTCTTTTGAGCCCTCACTTATAACATGAGCGAAAACAAACACATGGGCTGAAAAATCCTATGTTCTCTTTGAGAGCTCGTCGTCCTCCTGCCCTTCCCCTCTCCCCAGACTCAATAGAGACTGTTCATGGCACACATGTAGTTTCTGTAATTGCTGAAATGTAAAACTCAGCCCGACTCTGATGTGAAATTATAACTTACACAAACAGTTGAGTCTGGTAAAAAACAACTTGCTCTCACTTCTCTTTTTTTCTTCTTTTTTTTTACTAAGCAGGCAGCTTCAAAAGATTCCGTTTTTTTTTGTTGGAGAACAGAAACATTTTCAGTTTGAATTATTCATCTCAGGGTCACAAAAAGCGAATAACCACAAGTGAAGCTTTCAGGCACCATAACAAATAAACTCCGTGGCGGTCATTGACATATTATGTAAATAGTGGAGTGTAGAAGTAAAACAGAGTGTCTAAAGGACTGGTCCAGATTCCTGCTCGTTTTGGTTGTGTTGGCCTCAGAGGGACAGTTTCCTGCTCGGGTTTGGCAGAATTCAGCATGAAACCCAACTAGTGTGACAGCTACACTCAAAAGTCCATACCACAGCTACCTGACGGTGCTAATTTCCTGTCTCGCTCTAGCTTCTAATTGGCTGATCATGTCATTCTGGATGTGTAAATTAGTGCAAGCGCCAGTAGCGGAGTGCTGCCTCGAACCTGGGGGGGCGGCCGGCTTGTTTATGTGGAGTAAACAGTGTGGTCACTGTGGACGAGGCAGGCGGGGGCACGGCTGCATTGGGGCTGGTCCTCCCACAAACAGGACTTTTTTCTCAAGTCCAGTCCAAAGGCCACAGCTGCAGCACATGTGTGCCAGTTGTGCAGGAGGACGCCAGAGGTACCAACATTTGTGGAAGTGTCATTACGGGAAAATAATGTGCTCTTTTTTAAAAATAGAAATAAACGCTGAGTATATTTAAAAATGAAAAGTGTAATTTATTATTTCTGCAAGATTTCACTGTCACTTTGAATAACATCACCACATGGGTCACACGTTAAGAAAGACAGGCACACACATTTTCAACTACACACACACACTTTTGGGCCATCATCAAAGCGCTGAGCACTTGACTTGATGGCGGAACGTTATGCTAGTATCTGATATTCATCTTCAGAGAGGAACTCACAGGTGTTGGAACAAATAACATGTTAAATGATACCACCTCAAAAGTGCCAGGATTTTTCTTTCGGATGATTAAATTGCTGCTGTGCCCCCCCCCCCCC